GTAACTAATTCGTAATATAACAGTATTGTATTTATTTATTAAATTTTCATATCAAAAATAATTCCAGTTTTAAAACTTTTTGGGTAACTTTATTATTTTATAGATTGTATTTGTTTAACAGCCCCTGTTTTTGTTATTTTTGTTAATCGATTAATTGCATAAAAGCAAGAAGTACCAACACTATAAACCTTCATTATAAACCATTTTTCCATTGATATTAGTAATAGGCATGCGCCATTGGTAAATCATAGATGATAATATAACCATAGCAATGCCATTGTAAAATTTAGTATTATTTGTAATCTTTTCTAGTAGATAATATTAAAATAAACTCCGCTTATCAATATACTTTAGTCTTTAATCACAAATGATACGCAATTAATTGGTGTCAATTAAATTATCATACCTACAGTAGTTTTTGAATAAATTGATATCTAATTTCCACCTCCACCGGAAACAGTTTTCCTTTTTGTAACAGAACTAATGGACGCTCATTTATGATACTCATATATTTAGAACCCGCAAATGACACACAATTTATTGTTAAAGTTTGAATCAATGGATTATTTATATCGGGTGCCAGTTCACACAATAGTTGGCAACATATTGGCAAATGCAGATAATCTATGATCCGTGACTGTGATCTATGATGTAGGTTGACAGCTACACTTGGCTATGACAGTCTATGCTCAGCTATGGTCATGCTATGGTCCTTTATGTATCTATTATCTATGGTATGGTCTATGTGTTACGGTTGACGGTGTGATGGACGGTCAATCATGTTATGAGTGTATTTAACTGTGTGGTAGAAATTTTGTTAATAATCTACAATTTATATTGTGCTTTAAAATCTAAGTGTATTATTAGATTAATAAAATGAGCAATTTAGGTGCATTTGGTGGAGCAAAAAATCCTCCATGGGCCCGAAATAGTTCTCCTGCAAACCTAGTAAATCAGAATCCTAATCTTCAGCAACAAATTATGAATCCAGGAGCATTTGGGGGTATGAATGCTACCGGCATGGTGCAACTTCAGCAACATCAACAAGTTCTCCAAAATGCTATGAATATGCAACAACAAAATATTAATTTAGGACTTCAGCAATTAGCGAATACCTCAGTAGCCGTGAGTGCCGGTTTAACACAACAAATTGCCTCAAATCCGCTATTTCAGCAAGTTGGGGCAGTGACTTATCCTAATCCAAGGGCTCTAAATCCCTCTGCATTTCAAACTCAGGTAGTTTCAGCAGCAGCTGGCGTTCAGTCATCAAATAATTCTAGTACAAAGCAGCGTGTATTCACGGGTACAGTCACCAAAGTGCACGACAATTTTGGATTTGTAGATGATGATGTATTTTTCCAAACAACAGCAACAAAAGGTGTGTTTTATTTAATCTTAGATACAATTTTCAAAAAAAATTCAAACGAAGTTATTAAAAATAAAATGAACAAGTTTTCCTCATATTTTCATTTGCAATGAACCAGTTGCATGAGTTAAATCTGTATAAAAGTATAAGCTTGATTATTTTTAAATAGGTTCAAATCCAATAGTTGGAGACCGAGTTCTTGTTGAAGCCACTTATAATCCAAATATGCCATTCAAGTGGAATGCAACAAGAATGCAGGTTCTCCCATCAGCCACTCAGGGCACAAACATACCAAGAGGTTCCAATAATCCAAAGGGTGGTAATTATAACAATATTTCACAAATGTCTGATGGAAATGGAGGTTTTGGTAAGAGTGGACAAAGAACAAAAGGTTCAATAGGTGGGAGAGGCAGAGAAAGGTCACGTACAAGAGATGAAGAAGAGGAAAATGAACGTAAAAGAAGAAAAGAGGAGAGAATTCGGGAAAGGGATAGGGATGATAAGAAATCTCCCCTAAGACGCAGATCACGATCTCCCAAGTCCAGGCGTCGATCTCGAATTGTTCCAAGATATATGGTTCAAATTCCCAAAATTAGTTTGGATCTGTAAGTATAATTAACAATCCCTGCTAATTGATATCATCCATTCAATTGCTACCACTATAATGTCATTAATAAGCATTTTTTAAATCATCTATATTGATTGGACACTGTAAAGTTTATAGTGTAATAGTTTCGTACTTTTTTGTTTACAGGAAAAACGCTGATGTTTTGGAAATAAGAAGACGTTATGGAAATTTATATGTTCCATCTGACTTCTTCTACAGCCTTTTTCGTTGGGTGGATGCTTTTCCACCAGACAAACCCTTTTCACTTAACAAGCCTTGTTCGTTTCATGTAATGCATAAAGATGTTGAACCATTGATAGAAAACGATGCAGTTCTAGAACCGCCAGATGCCGACTACCTTTTTTCTGCTAAGGTATAAGTTTGTTTTTTAATACAGAACGTCCACAGTTTGGTTTACTTTTGAAAATGACGGACTAGGTTGAAATAATATTTTCAAAATTTGTATGCTGCAAATTTAATCGGTATTTTTTATGTTGAGATTAAAATTTTGATTATTTAAGGTCATGTTAATGAACGTAAGTGGCCTGGAAGATATGTACCAGAAGTGCTGTGCTTTGGCCGAGGACAACAGACGTGACAACGATAGTGAAGACAGAGATTATGTCCATCCTACGAGGTTAATCAATTTTTTGGTGGGAGTAAAAGGGAAAAGCGAGACTATGGCTATAGGAGGCCCATGGAGTAAGTCGTTAGATGGTGAGAATCCAGAAAAGGATCCATCTGTACTCATAAAGACTGCCATTCGGACATGCAAGGCACTAACTGGAATAGACCTGTCCCCATGTACACAATGGTAAGTTTTTATTTAAGTATGTTAGTTTGTGTTATTACAGAAAGGCTCTAAAAATATAACAAATGTATATGACTTCTTTAATACATTTTAAATACATCTTGTACATGCTTGTTTTAAAAATCATGAATATTGTTATGTGAAAATGACCTTAAAATCACATTAATTTGTATTTATTGTTTTATCAATGTGTAGTAGAGAGAGTTAAAGTTAATATTAAGGTACTTTTATGGAAGGTTTGATACCTGTTATGTCGGAGGAGTGAGTAAACTACCAGAACAGCGTTAACTCTTAGATGACATTGAAGAATCAAAACGTATCTCCACCTGTGACGTTTTCAACCTTTCGCTACGACACATGCCGTTGTCGATCGAAAACTCTTTCTCCTTCCCCCTCTCTCTCGCCCCGGTGCTTATTAGCTTGTACATAGTCGTTATTAGCTCCGGCTTCTAATATATAGACAACTTAGCGTTAGTAATTTTTCAGGCGCAGAGTGTAGTAAGATGCGTGTGCACTTAGAACGTGTTCTCATTTGTTCCGCAGTACTAGCATGACCAGCTGATGTTTGTGTTCGGTAGGTACCGTTTTGTGGAGCTGTACTACCGGCGAGCCGAAGCCGTACATCGGGGCCGAACGGTGCCGGCCAGAGTCGAGACGGTGGTGCTGTTTCTGCCGGATGTATGGAGCTGTCTGCCAACACGGCTGGAGTGGGACGCCCTCACCCGCGGCTACCAAGCGCAGCTGGAGAACCGCATCGCCGCAGAGGGGGACGACGCGCCTGCCGTTGCCACTTCCGCTGACCACGAAAAGGCATTATTTCTTACCTAGTCTAAGCTTTACTTATTAATTTTTTTTATTTCTCTCTCTGTCGTTCTTTTTCGTTTATTTACACTTTCATTTTTGTATCGAGAATATTTACAAAACAGCCGCACACTTGATAAGTATCTACTTAAAAAGAACAACTTTAATTAGGCGGTCGGTGTGCCGTTTTAAGTAGCTGTCGACGACCGATGGGCGGTGACTTCCGGTTGTTTGGCTGTGTGACGTTTGATTGAGTACGAACGAATGGGCGGGGCGTGTTGTACGACAGTCGTTCGTGCGCGCGCACTTATAACTAAATGACTTTATGTGATTTTTGTTATTGTTTAGGAAGAAGATGCAACTTGCGCTGAGAAACTGGAGCCCACGCCTTACACAGAGTTAGATATCAAGACGATGACCGTCGCGGCTCTCCGCAATGAGTTGAAGGCACGCAATTTGAGTGCGAAAGGCCTTAAGTCTCAGTTGGTTGCAAGATTGCAGAAGGCACTAAAAGCTGAAGCAGAAAAGATTGAAGGAGGCAAGGATGAACCGGCAGAAGCTGAGAGCGAAGGAACTGAAGAAAAAAAATCGGAAGTAAGGCTAGCTGATATATTGTCTTGGACGTTTTTATTAAAACCATTTTATAACGTATTTTTTTAAACAATTTCTTATCCATTAAAGGCAGATGAGAAAAAGATCGATGAGAAAGAACGGCACCAGCTTGAAAAGCGTTACGCCTTACCAGATCAGCCTCGTATAGTTGTACATCCAAATCGTCTGGCAAAATCTGGAAAATTTGATTGTACTGTCATGTCATTGTCCCTTTTACTGGATTATCGTCCCGAAGACACTAAGGAGCACACATTTGAAGTGTCCCTTTTTGCAGAATTGTTCAACGAAATGCTTATGAGAGATTTTGGGTTCAACATATATCGTGTCCTGTGGGAATTGCCTGAGAAGCTTAAAGAAAAGGAGAAAGAAAAGGACGAGAAGAAGAAGAAAAAGGATGAAGAAAAAAAGAAAGACGACAAAGACGATAAAGGTAAAATTCAGAACTCCTCAATTTTAACATATAACAATTTTAATATTTCTTGTTTTGTTTAACAGAAAAAAAAGAAGAGGAAAAGAAAAAAGATAAAGATGACAAAAAGAAGGAAGACAAAGATAAACATCGTGAGAATAAAGAAGGAGTTGATAAAGATCGAAAAAGTGAAGAATCTAAAGACGATAAAAAAGATGAGAAAAAAAAGGAAGCAAAAAAGGACGACAAACGTTCTGAGAAGGACGACGACAGCGATGACGATGACGATTATGACAGACGATCGGATCGCGATAAAAGGCGTAAAGAACGTTTGAAGATGTTCACAAAAGATCGAAATTTGCTTTTATCTTTTACGTACTTCGACCAGACCCACTGTGGGTATATTTTCGAAAAGGATATGGAAGATCTGCTATTTACCTTGGGTCTGAATTTGTCGCGAGCTCAAGTGCGCAAACTTGTTGGCAAAGTCGTGTCTAGGGATTCGTTGCACTACAGAAAGTTAACTGATAAACCTAAAGAAGACGATTTTATAGTAATTGATGATTCAGAAAAAGAATGTTACGCCCACGAACTTGCTAGAGGTAACAAGAAGTTTCTTCCTGTATTCCAGACTGATGAAGTTTCTGCAAAAAAGCAGAAACTTGAAGGACCATCGAGTGAGAATACTTTCGAAGAAGGTAATAATTACTAAGTGTTAAAAGTACTGGATATGTATGTCAGTTTTTGTTTTTAGGTTTAATAATGTTTAGGGGTGCAATGGTTGATGTCAGCAAGCTAATGGCCCAACTGGAGAGGAGCGAGAAAGCAAGAGTGGCCACTGAATCTTACATGGTTGATCTAAAAACGGAAAACAATAGACTTAACGAAAAGAATGGCAAACAAAGTAGTACCATCAAAAGCCTTAATTCTGAAATGAAAGAATACAAGGAGAAATTGAAACACACAGAAGATGTCCTATCTAAAGTATCAGTAAGTGCCAATCGAATTGTGTTTTAAAACATTATGGTATGTTAAAGTACTTATAATGCGATTCTAAATGTTTTTTTCTTTTCAATTTAGGTTTGTTCTAAACTGTTTCAAGCAACATTGTTGGATATCAGAGACAAAATTGACCCAGTTTTGAAAAGCGCGTCTCATATAAAAGATGAAATTAAACGAGAACGAGATGGTGATAGGGAGCGTAAACATGAAGAGTCAAAGTCAAGGTGGGAAAGAAATCCAAAAGAAAAAGGGAAAGATGTTAAAGAAAAGGAAGCAGTTGTTAAAGAAGATAAAGATAAAGAAAAGGAGAAGGACAAAGGAGATGAGAAAGACAAAGAAAAAGAAAAGGATAAAGATAAAGAAAGAGAATTAGAAAAAGAAAAAGCGAAAGATGTCGAGAAAAATGGTAAAGAAGTCGTTAAAAAAGAAAATGAAGAGATAGTGGTACCAGTAGAAACAGAAGTCGCTGAAGAAAAAGCCAAAGAAGTGGAAACAACATAATAATCATTTTTATCTGTTTTTAAGATAAAGAAAATTCATTTTTATTATGTTCATTAGAATTGATTATTTGCGGCATCCTGAGCATTCAGGCACCTACTGTCCACCATAATTTTGTGGTGTTTATTAACAATTATTTTGTGTTGAAGATTCTTTATGGCACGAAAATAATGACAGGTGTTTATGTATCATTTAAGGATTTAAAATAAATATTTCAATTGATCTTTTTTTACATCTACATCTATTAACTATTTATTATATGGATATAAACGTGTCTAGTCCTGAACTACAAACTTTCACAAATATACAAAAGAAAAATTATTCGAATGTCTAATAATAACAACACACAGTAATTAAAATCTTTACAGTATAAATTACACTACATTCGTTTTTTAATGTATTGTAGATGAGAATTTTGAACAACTTTTTATAAAACGAAATTGAATATTTGAAAATGGCGCGTTTCAGTTAACATTACTTTAACCAAAGATGTCATCAGTGATCGAGATAGTAATGCAAGTATGGACTTATCATGGCATGTGGCATTTTCTTATAAGTTAGAAAAACACTTTTCGACATAAATTAAATAGTTTTGTAAGTATTTTTGCGGTATTTTTCAAATTTTGAAGATATTGATCGCGAAATGTCTGCTTGCAACTACGACTTCCGTTGTAAAACAGGAACAGGAAACCTACAAGATGGTTGTCCCGTTTTTTCCTGTTGTAGTTCAAATTCCACGAATTCAAATAACAACATGAATAGTTTTACGAATTGTGCTTCTATAAAAATGTTTTCTAGGAGTATTCCCATACTTAGTAACTATGTTAAAAGTGCCTGTGTTGGATATGAACTTGGATAAAAGCAAAAAAGATACTGAAACAACATCCAAATATGTCTTAACCAATAATGAATTACTTACAGTAAGTACACTTATTAGTCCTGACTGTGTTTATTTTTAAATGTTTTTTATGGTTTCATTTTTGTTTAAATAACCGTAACACTTAATTTGGGGGTTATATATTAATAAAAACAATGTCTCTATTAATGCAATAAATGTTTTGATAAACAAACATTTCAGATTGAAAATAATGGTGCAAATGGGCAAGTCCCTCAAATCACTTGGGTTACTGAACTGGGAAAGCAGTTACTCAAAGCTGCAAGTGAAGGAAACACTGAAGAAATTAGATTGCTTGTGGGTAAAGGGGCCCCATTTACGGCAGACTGGGTAAATCATATCTTAACTATTATATAAAATAGCCTAAGACCAGTGTGTTGTTTGTAGTTGGGGACAAGTCCTTTGCATTTAGCAGCTCAGAATAACCATTTAGATGTTTGTTGTTTGTTATTGAGGGCAGGAATTTCAAAAGATGCAAGAACCAAAGTTGACAGAACACCACTTCATATGGCTGCTTATAAAGGACACTATGAAATTGTGGAATGTTTACTGACAAATGGAGCTGAAGTAAATTGCAAAGACTTAGTATGTAACTAGCAGTTATATGCTTATGTATTTAATATAAAATGTTTTCCTTTAGTTAGGAATGACACCACTTCACTGGGCTGTTCAGAATGCTCACATTGAGGTAGTGTCCCTGCTTATCCGTTATGGAGCTGACACACAGGCTGTTAACAAGTTTGAGTTGTCTCCCCTTGATATTGCTATGCAAATTCAAAAGCATGATATTGCTGATATAATAAGTGCAACTCTAACAACAAATGAAAACTTTCAAGCAGCAAATGAAAGTAGCAATGACTCAGGTTTGGAACCCACTTCAGAAAGTCGATTATCTGAAAATGACTCTTCCTTTCCTATAGGTAAATTAATATTTTTATATTATGATAATTATAAATCTCTCTATCATCCATGAAAGTGTTTTAAAAGTCAATATTAAATACAATTGCTAGATATGAGGAGAGTTACTTAAAGCAATTATTATTATTTTTTCTTTTTCCAGAAACAATATTATTAGAAGGTATAGATGGAGAGTCAATAAATGCACATTGTGAGAATGATGCAGGTATTTTTAATTCATTATTTCCAAAACAAACAAACACCGAAAGGCTCTTTGCAGAAGAAGAGGATTCCCAGAATGAAAATGAAAGTGAAGAGCAACCCCAAGAAACCTCATTTATTGAAGAGAAGGAAGACTTTTCTGAAACTGTTAAACTTCTTCAGCAACATGGTATCACTATGTTGCCTCCTGATGATAGCAATATTTTCACTTCAGTAATGGACACTGGACATCAAGTTGTCTTAACAGGTAACTCTTTTTTACGATTAACATTAAACCAAACTTCTAATTATTGTTATTCTATAATTTAAAGAAATTATAAATTTTTAACCCATGACACAGATATTGGGAAAGAGATGTTGAATTCAACAAAACCCGTTGCAAAAATAAAACCAGAAGCTGTAAAGATTGCTACAAAGGTGCATCAGAAATTGAAAAGCAATTCGAGGAGTGCCCTTAAGACAAAGGAAGTATTGTTATCCGTTACCCCAGAAGAGTTTCTCGCCATGACCACCAATTTAAATGCACCAATGGAATTGAAAAAAGTCGAAAATTTTAATTGTGTTTCAAAACCCACTACAAAAAGGATCGTGATGAAAAAGAGTAAAGTTATTCCAGTAGTTGTTAATAATAACAATAATAATAATGTAAGTTTGGTATTTAATTTTTAAATTACGTTATAGTTTGATTTTATCATTTTCCAGGCTGTAAATAAGTCGAAAAAGTCAGGTATTAATGTTTCTGATATGGAGCTATTAATGACTCAATTAATAGAAGTTAAAAGACAAGCGACTGTATACAAAAGACAAGCTGAAGAGTACAAGAGCAAATTGTTAATGAAAGAAGCAGAAGCGAAAATGTATAAGCAAAAGTTAATCGCGTTGCAGAGAAATTGTTACTGTTCTTAGTAGAAAATTATAAATAAATAAATTATTATCCCATTGTGATGATCTAGGATTAAGTTGGAATTCAATCAAAGTGCTGATTGATTCTTTTGTTAATAACTTTTGTATGAAAAATAGAAATAAACTTTTTGTACTATCTTTAAATAGTTTAGTATTACTACACCTTTTAGTTTTTCTAATTCATAGTTAAAGAAATAACTTAAGAAGACACGCTTTATCGTTATAATTTATTTCTATTTATTTATTGTATAGGGCTAATTAATATCAACAATTTTAGCATAAGGATATTTAATAGACTTGTTCAAATTTACCGCTGTCTAATTATTTCAATCCATAGATTGGTTTGATTCTATTTCATTACCCTATTATCTATGGTGTAGTGCTTGATCTATGGGTCGGTATGGATTGTCTATGGTGTTTCTATTTCCACAGATATCTGTCATAGATAAGAATATCTGTCCATAGATTAAGGCAGATTAAGGAGTATTGGTGTATTCATTTTGGGGTTATGCTTGTAATGTTTTTAAAGCTGTTTATTTTTAAAAGTACCCAAAATCTAAAAATAATTACATTTCAAATATTTTAAGCATCATTTTCTGCAGTCTTTGAAGATAAAGTAGAGTTTCCAAAAGAAAAAACTGTAATTATAACGAAAAAAAAAATCACGTTTAGGACACTCGTGCAAGAGAAACTCTGTCCCTAATTTGCAATTATTACAGTCAGTGTTGTTTTGTTTTATTTTTTTGTGTTATCATGTCTAGTTTTGGAGTCTGCGAAACGCCTGGGTGTGACCAACCAGCTAAACTGAGGTGTCCAACATGTATAAAAATAGGAATTCCTGGCTCGTTCTTCTGCTCACAAGAATGTTTTAAAGGAAATTGGAAATCACATAAGATCATCCATTCATTAGCCAGTAAGTGTGTAGTTAGGTAGGTGTTTAAGCAATCACAGTTTCATGTGAACATTATCAATTTGACCAGCATTTCCTTGTAGCAAATTTCATAATAATCATGTAGGTTTATCATTAATCATATAGATTGAAATGGAAGATTATATTGTCTGCTAATTTGTAATTATCATTGAAGGTGGGGTGCAATACTTTCATATTATAAATCATACTTTGCAGCTGGAGAAAGTCACACCAAGAATAGTGCAGAATACAACCCCTGGCCTTATTTTGATTTTACTGGAAAATTACGACCTTTTCCACAAACTCCTAAGCGCACAGTGCCACAAAGTATTGGAAGGCCTGACTATGCAGATCATCCCAATGGTTATCCCTTATCAGAGCAAGCTGTTAAAGGTTCTAGTCAAATAAAAGTTCTTGATGATGAAGAAATTGAAGGTTATTATTAATTACTTTATTTAGTTATTTTTTTAATATATTTCTTAAAAGTATATGTACAAACAGCCATTAACTGCTGCCATATAAACATAATTAAATACATAAATTTTAGGTGTCAAAGTTGCCTGTAAATTAGGGAGAGAAGTTTTGGATGAAGCTGCAAGGGTTTGCGACGTTGGAGTGACTGCTGATGATATCGACAGGGCTGTACACGAAGCTTGTATAGAGAAAGAGTGTTATCCATCACCTTTAAATTATTACAATTTTCCCAAGTCTTGTTGCACTTCAGTGAATGAAGTAAGTTAGTTGATAATAATTTCAGGAATTTCATGTGATACTGTTCTGTTTATATTAATTTTTCATTTGGTAAATATTCATTCTTTTAAGGTAATTTGTCATGGAATACCAGACTTAAGAAAGTTAGAGGACGGTGACATATGCAACGTCGACGTTACGGTTTATCATCGTGGTTTTCATGGTGATCTTAATGAGACGTTTTTTGTGGGCAATGTTAAGCCTGAACACAAAAACTTAGTTAAAGTAACACACGAATGTCTTATGAAAGCAATAGATATCGTTAAACCTGGCGAAAAGTATCGGGAAATTGGAAATGTCATTCAAAAACATGCTCAAGCTCATGGATTTTCTGTAGTAAGAAGTTACTGTGGCCATGGAATTCATAGACTTTTTCACACTGCACCGAACGTACCTCACTATGCCAGTAAGAAAGAAAAATCTTTATTACCCATCCTTTACTTATGAAGCAACATAATTACCTATACCCATAGCAATGAAGAAAATTTTGTTTATACCTTAATAAGATTAATTAATTAATTTGTTAATATGACAAATCGTCAGCATTTATATAAAATAGGGACAAGACCACTATTTCAAAATATTGAGATTTTGAAAGTAAATGGGTTAATCAGTATTACGTCTTATAAATAAAGATGTAGCCTAGTAACTTAGATCATAGCTTTGCATTCTGGAAGTCATCGATTTGTTTCCGGGTTCGCCTGCCTTTATCCATGCTTTTCTATGGTTTCCATGGATTATTAAGGCAAGCACTTGGGTTCTAACATTCCGCAGATAATCTTTCATGTCTCTATTTCGTCCATCTTGCCTGTCTCTCCCCCATCACGATTCCTAAAAGAAGACTGAAGGGGACCTTCCACCATATCATCTGGCTGTACAGTAGACTGTAGGTCTGAGCGACTGTTCGCCCGTTAGCTTGAGTAGCTGGTTGAATAAAAACCCAACAGTTTTTTTTCATAGGTTTTCTTGTACCTGTATTTAAATTTTACTTTTTCTAATTTGAATTTAATTAAGATATTTTTCATTAATTATTGTGCTATAATTCGGTATATTGTCTTGTGCAGGAGAAGACTATATATTAAGATTATAGGTATAGGGTTCAAAAAATGATTGTGAAAGTTCGTATAAAATCGTTTGTGTGGATAATTTATAATCATGGTTAAATTTAATTGTCATAATAGCGCATTTAAAGATATTTTTTAATTTTTGTTTTAGAAAATAAGGCGATTGGTGTAATGAGGCCAGGTCATAGCTTTACCATAGAACCAATGATTTCCATGGGGACATGGAAGGATATTAGTTGGCCAGATAGTTGGACAGCAGTCACTGCAGATGGGCAATGGTCAGCTCAGTTTGAACATACACTTCTAGTAACAGAGACTGGTTGTGATATTCTGACAATCAGAAGAGAGAAAAACGGTCAACCTCATTTCATGGATAAAATGTGAATAAAATCCGAGTGTTTGCTTGATAAAATTAATTTTAGTAAATTCTTTTTGCTATATGTACAAGTGCCTGAGTCTGGTGCGTATAAAATGTTGTAATAAATCATGTTTTTTATTTAACTAAATAACGTTTTATGCCAATAGTGCAGTTTTATTAATTAAACAAAGGTAGTACCTGAATAGTTTGATGATGTTATAGATGTCCTTTGAATAACAAGAGACTTTTCTGCTATGATCACTGTTACAAAAAGTACAATGTTAAGTATTTCTGATAGGCATTTTATGAAATCCTTCAGATATGTGGACGATTGTATATATAGAGTAACTCTATCTGTTGGAAATCCGCATAAAATAATTTTTATCTTGACCGATTTTATTATATATTGGCTTTAATAACAATATGTATTAAACTTTTTGGTTCACAGTGACAAAAGTTTTCGTATGCACCTTGTAATGCAGTTAAAACTTCTGTTCCGACCTGCGTATGACAATATCCCACTGCGCCATCTTACATGAGTGCTTCTAAGCAGTTCTGCGGCCCCTACCGGTGGGATGTAAAACGTTGCTTTTTATGTAGTTAGTCACCTGATAGATTTATCCATAGTTTCACTATCACGTACGAGATAGCGCAGGCAGTTACCTTTATACATAGGTTAGAACAAAAGTTTTGACACAAATATAAGGTCCGTACGACAAGTTTCGACAGTTAAAACAAAACAGGTGCAACTCAGTACACGTGGAAGAATTGAAACTTCTTTGGCTATCTTTATACCTTTATAATGAATAAGTAATGATTGGTAAAAGACAAAGTACGAGAATTTTCAGGATTTGTTTTCCAGCATATTTTATTTTTAGTCCATCTAAGGAGTATTACTTTAGTACATTTTTATGTCATTCAGTAATAAAAAAATGGTCAAACGTTTTTCGTTAATTATGATACTATAATTCGGTATGTTCTCTTGTGCAGGGGAAGACTTTATATTAAGATTATAGGTAAAGGGATTAAAAAATGATCGTTAAAGTTCGTATAAAATCGTTTGTGTGGATAATTTATAATCATGGTTAAATTTCATTGTCATAATAGCGCATTTAAAGATATTTTTTAATTTTGTTTTAGAAAATAAAGCGATTGGTGTAATGAGACCAGGTCATTCCTTTACCATAGAACCAATGATTTCCATGGGGACATGGAAGGATATTAGTTGGCCAGATAGTTGGACAGCAGTCACTGCAGATGGGCAATGGTCAGCTCAGTTTGAACATACACTTCTAGTAACAGAGACTGGTTGTGATATTCTGACAATCAGAAGAGAGAAAAACGGTCAACCTCATTTCATGGATAAAATGTGAATAAAATCCGAGTGTTTGCTTGATAAAATAAATTTTAGTAAATTCTTTTTGCTATATGTACAAGTGCCTGAGTCTGGTGCGTATAAAATGTTGTAATAAATCAAGTTTTTTGTTTAATTAAATAACGTTTTATGCAAATAGTGTAGTTTTATTAATTAAACAAAGGTAGTACCTGAATAGTTTGATGATGTTATGGATGTCCTTTGAATAACAAGAGACTTTTCTGCTACGATCACTGTTACAAAAAATACAATGTTAAGTATTTCTGATAGGTATTTTATGAAATCGTTCAGATATGTGGACGATTGTATATATAGAGCAACTCTATCTGTTGGAAATCCGCATAAAATAATTTTTATCTTGACCGATTTTATTATATGTTAGCTTTATTAACAATATTAAACTTTTTGGTTCACAGTGATAAAAGTTTTCGTATGCCCCTTGTAATGCAGTTAAAACTTCTGTTCCGACCTACGTATAGCAATATGCAACTGCGCCATCTTACATGAGTGCTTTTAAGCAGTTCTGCGGCGCCTACCGGTCGGACGAAAAACGTTGGTTTTTAGTTAGTTAGGCACCTGGTAGATTTAGTCATAGTTTCACTATCACCTACGAGATAGCGCAGGTAGTTACCTTTATACATAGGTTAGAACAAAAGTTTTGACACAAATATAAGGTATATACGACAAGTTTCGACTGTTAAAACAAAACAGGTGCAACTCAACACACGTGAACGAAAGGAAACTTCTTTGATTATCTCTACACCTTTATAACGAATAAGTAATGTTTGGTGAGAGAGAGAGTACGAGAATTTTCAGGATTTTTGTTTTCCAGCATATTTTATTTTTAATCCACTAAGGATTACTTCAATACGTTTTTATGTAATTCGATAACAAAACAATGGTCAATTTTTTTTCGCTTCCGTTTATTTTTCCAGGTGCATAAGAAAGCGTAAACTATTAATAACTACAAGGAATGAGAACTAATACATAATAATACTCACTGTTAAATAAATACTAATTGTTAAATAAACATTTAATGTAAAACACTTACTGTAATATAACTGTACAAAACGTTAATTTAGCATTATAGTATACTGAATCTCCCATTGAGCCCAAAGAAGTTTTACTTCAAAAATTGCGAATTTGAACCCATCTTAGTATTCTCTACAACTTTGATTAGCCCACATTTTTGACTACTTGCGATCAGTAATGTAATCTAGGTCTTCTACTGCCCCACTTTATCCCTGTTCCTACTTTTAATATATTTAACGAAACTTTCATTTCTCAGAAAGTGTCGCATCATCTCTCCTTCTTCTTATTGACTTGCATAGCCTATTTTGTTCTCCTGCTGTTTCTAATTCCTACTACTTGACTACTTATTCATTAATTTATTAATAAAGCGGAAGTTAAAAGTGTAACTTTCCAAATTTTAAAGATAAGCGCCAAAGTTAGACGAATGCGCGCTATCTATGAATCGAATATTTCAATAGAACTTAAAAGCTTTCCGTTAGATGACGCACCAATGCACAATTTTAAAATAAAAACTTTTTGGTGGGAAATTATAAAGAATTAACACAAAACATATTTAACGTTTAAGTAATTTTCTTCAGTTTTGAATATGTTGGTACAAGATCTTATAAAACAAATGTAAACCACACTGTTTATTATTTTTTACGAAAACGAAATAAGGGATGCAGGGAAATGGTCAACACAGTTGTGCTAATGAATGAAAATTGACAACAAAAAGGAACTATTTCCAAAAAAAGCTTACATAATGGATTTCTTTTGAGTTTTTGGTGGCAGACCCAGTTTTAGTAAACGTAGGGTTAGTTGCGCGATTCTAACGACTTGGCTTTTCTCTATCCTCACCCTCTTCGCTAAAAGGTCCTTCTCTCCTGTACCTAGTGCTGGTGCCGCGCAATCTCCGAAGAAGAGGAGGGCGCATTGGCGGAGTCCGGTTGCTTGCTTGCTGGCATTCAGGAAATCGAACGAAAAATTAAAAGGCGTCGTGCATAGTCGCCGTCAGTCGGACCTAGTGCGGCACCTTGTCTTCAGAACGGTCTTCATAGCACGGTGCAGTGAACACCGTTGTTGACCCTGTCGAAGTCTTCGCGGTGTTTTTGAACTCGTTGTTTTTTTCGAGTTATTCTTCTACACCTTGATAACAAGCGCGAAAATTGATCAAAATGAAACTGTGGCTGGCGGTCCTTCTAGTTGTACTCGTCGCAAGCTCCTCCGAAGCTAAACGCAAACGAAAATTTGAAGGTGATTTCGAGTTTGCTGAAGAGGTAAGCAAGATTGTTATTAGGTATTGTCTAGGTACCAACACTCGGCTCGAATTCTTTGTGATCCTTTAGTCTAGTTATGCGTGAGACTCAGACATCAGAATATAATAATAATTCACCAAAAATTTTTTGTAATTTTTTATTACAAATTCAATCAATAATCATGAAAAAATTTATATTTACTTTTTTACAATTTAGCGTTCCTTTTTGTTGTTGACAACAATCCAATTTTTGAAAAAGTTCAAGCGTTATTGGGGAAACTCAAATAAATATTCTAGCAATTTTTTTTTAAAGTAAACGCTAAAAGGGCAATTCCGCTGTAGTAACAAACACCCACTGCTTTAATTTGGAATTCTAATGGGCGTCAAAGGCGTTTCTAAATGCTAGCTCATTAATTAACATTCAAGTTGCGCTTTTCAGTAAACGTATAGACTAACAGAAAATTAAAAATTACTTTCGCAAATATGAAAAAATTGATTGTTAAACAAGAACAAACGAATTTGGCGATAGAGCCCTTCAAATATGACCAATGCTTTTTTTTTTTGAGAAGGGATTACTTAAATTCAAAAAAGTAATACCACAGTTTAGACTCAATGCATTGTTAAATGTATTTACTATAAATTATAATAATTGTTAGATATAGAAATTTAGAAATGTACAATGGAGAGTTTCACTAATTTTAATTTATAGCCTTTTAATAAAGATAAAGATGAATAACGAATTTTTATCCCTGAAAAAAAGTTTGTTATTTTTCGGGGATTCCAGTAAAAAGAGCGCCTTTTAATTACCTTGCTGGATGTTGCTCTATTTGTTTTTATTTTGTCTAAATTTAAAAATTATGGCCAATACCTTTTGTTTTATTTATCTTTTTCTATTATTGATGCGTTCTTTAATTCCAAATAGAACCGCCCTTCTCGATTGACCAATATAAGAAGTAGGTACTACATCTTTAGCAAAGCAAGATACTTACTAATTGCAATATTTCCTCATATCTATATCTAATAGCTCATCAAGATAAATGTTAAAAATGTTATCCTTATGAGACATATTTTTAAACATTCTACAATAATCTTTTAGCGAAAGCGAAAACGTAACTAGGGTTAAAGGTTCACTTTTTTTTTTTTTAAGAAACACAATAGCGAGTGCTATTACTATTTTGAATTGTTATGCAGATTAATTGTACTCAATAGATTTATAATTGCCAAATTTATGGCGTTCATCATTGGTTATCCTTCAACATAGATTGAGTGTAGATATTTAAAATTGTGTGATCTACTTCATTCCGTTTTTGGAGAACAATTGCCTCTCATTGAGTTAATTAGTCCAAAATAATAATAATAATAACAATTTTTAACGGTATAATTCTGCATTCTGACTGTTAAATATTGATTAACTGCTCTGTCATGATCATCCAAGTTAATTAAAATTTGCTTTTGGAAGTGTCTAATGGCACAAGTAAAATAAATAATTTCATGTAGGTAAAATACGTGATGTATACAGTATAATGATTGAATAAATAAATTTTAATAACAAAACATACTTAAAATTATCACTTTGCCATCAGAGAATATGCATAGATACGATGTCTTTCAAGAAATCCTACGTAAGATCTACTTTTTTGAAGTCCTTTTACAGATGGTTCGGCCGAATTTAATAAAATTGACTTTATATTGTTTAAGAATTGTTTAAGTTTTTAATTAGGAAAAGGAGTAGAATTTCAGAGAAAAAAAGAATGATTAAGGATGTTTATAATCATTACACGAGTTGCTGGAAGTTTTAGTTTGATTGTAAGAATGAATTGACGAATTTTCAGTTGTGTTTCTAGAAGGCATTCTATAAATTCTAAACAACTGTGTTTGTACGTGAACAAAATGTTTTGAAATTATCATTAAATTTATCTTTAGGTATGTTTAATGAGATTATTTATTCGCATAAATAGATTCCATTTTTCCTAGAGTAAAACTTCTTTTATATGTTCAAGGATCCTTTAATTGAAGGATCTTCCAGTTTGTCCTATGTAGGTACACTTTATCACAATTTCCATAGTCTATCAAATAAAAATTCTTTGAAACTGTCATTAAATTTATCTTTAGGTATGTTTAATGAGATTATTTATTCGCATAAATTTTTTTTTATGTTCAAGGATCCTTTAATTGAAGGATCTTCCAGTTTGNTAATGTTGTGTCATTTGAAATATCAAATATCTGATGCCTACACTTTTTATATTGTAATTAAATTTATTGGTTTCTAATTAACCATTTCTACAGCAAATTACTGTTTATGTTTTGTATGCATATATAAATAAATATCTTAAGTGGACGTCGGCATAATGAGATAATGATATTTGGTGTCGCCAAATCGTGTTGTACCTTTAAGTGGTTTTACCTGTTCTAGATACATTTACCTAAGCAGAAAAGTAATTTGTCTAGTAACTTTGACTTAAATTTTGCTTCGAATTCTCCTGATACCTATTTACATATTTATCTAATAGCTAACGATTCTGAAAATTAATAGAAATACCTACATAATATCTTTACTGAAATAGTTACAAACATGCATTTAAAGGTTCTAAAAATGATTTAAAGACTATCTCTAGTCTCCAGTTTGACAAACTAACACTTTCATTTTCAAAATGTTTACGATTGCTTATTGGTACCTATTAACTCTACTAAAAACTTAATCACAAACTAGTTTTTTATTTCCATGTAAGATACTTGTTTGTAGAATTCTAAAAATTGGGAATATCTTTCGTTAAAACAGTGGCACCTAACTAGTCTTTATCATAATAAACTATTAAAACAAATGAATATATAGTTTTCTTGATTGAACCAAGGACAATAAAAATTCTAGGAATGAAATACTACAGTAAATAGCAAATATTGTAATGAAGAAGCGAATTTTATAATTTATGGGGTTGTTCGGAAAGTCATTTTCGTTTTTTTTTGTGAAAATGAAAGACAGTTTTCGTATAATAAACAAATACTTTATTAAATTATATATTGACCGTTCTGGTCCAACACCTTTTGCCATCTTTCTGGTAGTAGCATAATTCTACGCTCATAAAATTTTTGCTCTTTGCTGGCAAAAAACTGATCGAGGACGTTTTTGACCTCCTCATTTGAGGTGAAGGTTTTACCGTCTAAAAAATTTTGGAGTGACCGGAACAAATAATAATCCGATGGTGCCAGGTCTGGAGAATATGGTGGGTGTAGCATTGTATCCCATTCAAGCTGTAAAAGCTTTTGGCGAGTGACCAAACTTGTGTGAGGTCTCGCGTTGTCTTGGTGAAACACTACACCTTTCCTGTTGATTAGTTCTGACCTTTTCTGTTGAAGTGCATCATTCAGTTTGTCCAGCTGATGACAGTAGACTTCCGAATTAATCGTTGTGTTATCCGGTAAAAGCTCAAAAAAAACGATTCCTTTAAAATCTCACCAAACAGACAGCATCATCTTTTTTTGGTGAATATCGGCTTTGGAAATGGTTTGAGCCGGTTCATCTTTTTTGCTCCATAACCTCTTGCGTTTGACGTTGTTGTATACAACCCATTTTTCGTCCCCAGTGATGATGCGCTTCAAAAACGGATCATTTTCGTGACGTTTGAGAAGCGAATCGCAGACGTCAATGCGGCGACATAGATTTCTCTCTGTGAGAACATGGGGAACCCATACATCGAGCTTCGAGGATAATCGCAGGCCTTTCAAGTGGTCATAAACTGTTGAATTTGATAAATTTAACCTCAATCCGATCTCACGTGTTGTTATTCGCCGGTTCACATCAACTAATGCCTTTATCGCGTCTTTATCAGCTTCAACCGGCCTTCCCGAACGTGGTGCATCTTCGACATCAAAATTGCCGGATCGAAATTTAGCGAACCAGTTCTGGCACTGGCGTACTGTCAACACACCTTCTCCATACACATCAGTCAATTTCTTTCTGGCTTGAACAGCATTTTTACCCTTTCTGTAGTAAAACAGTAAGATATGTCGAAAATGCTGCTGCGTAGAATTAATTGGAATTTTTCACACACAAGCCTTGCTATATGAGCTCTCAAAGCATATAAAAATTATACGGCTTAAATGTGAAGTTGGGCGCAAAAGAATACAATTAAATCCTCTGTCGGGAAAAAACGAAATGACTTTCCGAACAACCCGATACATTAGTTTCAAACTCCTTCAGTACATATTCTCAGTTTAATATTTAATCCCAATGTGCTGGATTTTTCATAACTTTGTTTCCTCATTACACAAAACCCTTTTAGTTTATCTGTGTATGCGGTTCTTGTCGATTGTTTAATCTCCACTGACTCCTTTCAGCATATCCCTTGAATTTCAAAAATTCAATAGGTCCTTTTTTCTTTCGCTTTCAATCTACATATTACTTGTCTTCATAAAATGAAGAGGAAGAAATGTTCTAGCAATTTTATAAGATGTTTAATAAAATAAAGAACCCATTGCGATGTTTTAGAAGAATTAATTACTGAATAACTTTACGGAACTAACTCAGGTGCTTATTTCGTTAATAAGTTTGTCTCATTGTCAGCAGAGTTTCTTGTTAACTCAAAACAGGTAAATTCATTAGCAAACAGAGATTTGGAAGAAACCTTTCTGGAACCGAACGCGTCCGTTTGCATCCTTTCCAGAAGAGATAATTTAAAATTTTGTATTATTTGCTTGTTTATAACAATCTATATGTAGATAGATGAATCAATTTTGAGTTGAGTGACAAAAAAGTGTTTTTTAAAAGAGTATTTGTGTTAAGTGCCCCTGTAAGAGCAAATGTCGTTAGCGAATTATTACCTTAGTTTTCTGTGAATTCCTTCTGCAGAATGAAAAATTTTGGGATGAAAGCCAAGCCTCTGGGGTAGCAATTAACTTCCTTGCTGATTGCAGCCACGACCTTCTGCTTTCGAGGATGGTAATGATGCCTGAAGGACTTTATAAGTCACTGAATCACTTGAAAGCTAATATTTCTTTCCGCATATAGGTGGATGTACGATTGCA